AGCCTCCTCGCCCTCCGCAGGAGGGCGGGGAGGCTTCGCCCTGGGGAAAGCCGGGGGTGGGGGCGCGCCAGGCGTCTATCAGACCGGGGAGCCACCACTCCCTCCTCCTCCTCCCTTCGCCCTGTTGTCTGCAGACGTTTCCGCACCCGGCGCTCCAACCACGTGTTGAAACTTCTGTGCCCCCCCCCCAACTAAAGTGTAAAAATTTTTAAAAAAACATTTATTTTATTTCGTAGTCAAACACAGAGCGAACTAGAACTTGGCCAAGGTAATCCAATAAGGAGTAAGGTAAAGGTTTCCCCTTGCTCGAAAGCCAGTCCAGTCCGACTCTGGGGTTGCGGTGCTCCGTTTCCGAGCCGAAGAGCCGGCGCTGTCCGAAGACGTTTCGGCGGTCATGTGCGGCATGATGACTAAACGCCGAGGCGCACGGAACGCTGTGACCTTCCCACCGAAGTGGTACCTGTTTATCTACTTGCAATGTCTTGCTTTCCAACTGCTAGGTTGGCAGGAGAACAACGAGTAAGCATCGACTTAAAAAGGGATACGCCGCAAGCTGCCCTTTAAACAGTATGTTCTTGTACAGAGTTGCATAAAATGTAGAACGTGTAGAATTTACCTGGTATGTTATAGTTTGGAGGCATACCATTGCGAAAGACATATTCCAAGAATGGAAGCCGTTTTAATTGAAAATTACTACCACAGGTATTGGTATTAAAGGACAAGACCAATGTTCCCGCTAAGCTGTGGAGTCCTGTGAGCAAAAATTCTACTTTGTGAGCTACTAAGTCCTTTGTGATCAAAGTTGTGAGCTAGTGATTTGGCTACTGCATAAATTAGTTTGCACTGGAGCCCTCCTTCCTGAGCTAAGAGAAAAATGTCTGAGCTGGAGGCTAAAAAACTGTGAGCTAGCTCACACCTTGTCTGATAGCTTGTCCATAGAATAGAATTCCCATAGTTTAGCAATCCATTGAGTGAGAGATGGGACTTTTTTATCCTTCCAGTTGTCGGCTATGACTGTCTTTGCTGCAGTCAGGAATATCAAGCATAAAACTTAGGAGGGCTGGGCTAGACTTTCGACCTCGGCAAGTGCTGATTTCAGTCTTCTCAGCTGCGCTTAGAACTTTCACATGAGTAAAGTAGGGCTTGTCAGGGCAAAGTATCTGTCCTCTGAATTTAATTTCCGCTCAGGATCCTTTTTGCCAATTCCTGGTATCACTTGTTTGTTCCGGGGATTGCTGATGACGTTCTTAAGCTGTCGCTTTCCTGTATTTTCTTCACCCTGTTCCTGTTTTGCCGCTTCTAATATGCCACCTTTAGCCATTTTTTAGAGTTTCTTTTGCAGTAATAGCACAAAACTCGGGTGTCAGCTGACATGGTATTATGGGCTCTCCTGGTACAGAGGAGTATGCAATGCTACTTATGTTTGCTGTGCTACCCATTTAGTACTTACTTTCACTGTCCCCCATTTTTCTTCCTTGTCTCTGCTATGGAATTCTTGGAGAATCCTCTTTTGCACCAGACTGTGGAAGAACATCTGTAGGCTGTCTAGTTAGAGTGTGTGATATGGGGGGGGGGAGTGTCTTTGCAGTTTTTTGTGTTTCTTCACACACACAGTATGTCCCTGCGTACATTTTAATATGTAAAGAACAATTCTGCTTCATGGAGGAGCAGCAGCAATGGTAGCAGGAAGGGAAACAGGTGAATGGATTCCTGTTTGCTGTGACTAGTCCTCAAGTTAAGAGGGAATGACTGATGTCTGGCAGCTATTAAATTGGCCACAAGGGAGAGTTAGAACTGATAGGGGAGCAACTGTGTTGTTGTTATGTGTTTTCCATTTTTCTGGCCTTGTGCGCACATGCTCTTTTGGGGAACTCCACCCTTGGAGCAGCAGCACCACACGGGATGGTGGAATAGGCAGTGCAACTGGAGTAGACTGCCTTCACTTTTGGACAGGGACCATAATATACAATTACTACTGAACGGGTTTGTCATTGGCATAATACCCCCCCCCCCTTTGTCTGGAGGAATCGTGACTTCAGAATTCCCAGTTTTGCAGAAAACCTTCTTAGGGGCAGCTGTGTTCTCACCTCCCTGACTCAGCATTAGCCCTGCTCTCAGTCTAAAGTCGGAATAGCAGTGGCTGGTCAAACACTTCCCTCCACCTGTAATGCTACAGGAAACAGGCCCAATATATTCTTAGTACATAATGACACAGCTCTAGGATGGGGTGCCAACTTGACTTGTTTATCCCCATCTACAAAGAGTTCTGGGCACAGGTGCCACATCCATGTGAATGTTGGAACTGGAGGGAAAAGTTTCATGATGGAGAAGGATCAGCCTTCCTAATCAAATATTGCTAGTTGCTGGTAAAGCTCTACATCGTTTTGGCCCACTTTCCTACTTGGCTTGGTTGGGCTGGACGGAGGATGCTGTCTCCTTACTGGAAGTACATTAGCCTACCTTTTGATTTACTGATTGGTCCTGGAGGGCTGTGAGGAACCTCTCCTACTTTCTTTTGAATGAGCCATCATGATTTTCTGGAACTTGAATGCAGGCAATATGCAGGTCATCTTACCTGTTAAGCCAGGTAAGGGTGGGTGGAACATCCTCTCCATAGCTCCCTGGAATCCCACATACAAGAAGGAAGCATTGTCCTGAAAGGGAAATGGGTTTGATCAGAGCAGTAAATCTGCTACTGTTTGAATCCTTTCCCTTTATTTCATCTTAGGCCTTATTTCATCTTAGCTTTTCTTGTTTTCTCCTCTGTGTGCTCACACCTATGGATCTTGGTCCCTCGTCACTGAAGGCTTGTGTCTTGACAAGTATGTATCCTCAGCAGTCCCTTTCAAGAATTTTTCCCCCTTATACCTGGTGATTTCAGGGAGGTATGCAGAAGTTGTGTACCCATCTATATATACATCTTGGTTTGCTCACTGGAAGTACTGTTTCAGATCTTGAAGGTTGCTGGTTATATTTTGGGGTGTGCTTAAAATAAGACGTGGGTTCCTTCCATCAGCACTGTATAATATCTGTTTGTCTAGTGCAGTGGTACTCAGCGGCCTGGGCTCTTTGACATGTGGCTGTGTGACGTGCCATCTGTGGTTCTTCTGAGCATTGTTCTGACATGTGGCACCTGACCCATGTCCCAGGAAAGTGGGCAAGGCCATTGCATGGTAGGACTTGTGGTTAGCAGGTGGTCCCCACCTTAAAGCTGCTACCGGAGGGTCTGGAGGATCAAACCCAGTTCTCCCAGATTAGAGTCCGCACTCCTAAGTACTACGCCAAAACTGTATCTTATATTATTGTGTATCTGTGTGGTGTGGTGGCATGCAGGGGCATAAATTAGTTATGTGTCTCTTTTAGCTGATGGTATAGAATCATAGAATGTTAGAGTTGGAAAGGACCTTGCAGGTCGTCTAGTCCAACCCCCTGCACTCTGCAGGAGCATAGGCGAAAGAGAGTCCTACAACATACCCCAAAGATGGTCGTCCAGCCTCCGCTTGAAAATGTCCACCAAAGGAGCATCCATCACCTTCTGAGGCCGTCTGTTCCACTGCTCAACCACCCTTACAGTTAGGATGTTTCTCCTGATACTTAGCCCCATATCAGATGGCCAGGTTATTTTCTTTAGTAAAGCGCCCCCCTTCTCCCCCCCCCCGGTCTGGACATTGATCTCAAAGTAGTTGTACTGTGAAGTGAGCTCTGCCTCTTGGTGCTTTGATCCTGGGGAAGTAGCAACAAATCCTGGACGTTTCTGTGGGGGTCGGGCAACAAGAATGAACTTTTGCAGGGATTGGATCATAAAGGGCTTGGGACAGAGATGGTGCTTCTGGTTGTTCCTGGGGTAGCCAAAACAAAAAGGAGTCTTCTTTTTTTTTTTAAGCATTTGTAGGGTGGAGCCTTCCTGACTGGGGATGTGGGCTCTAGCTCACAAAAATCTGTGCTTCATTAAATCTGGCCGTTTAAAGTGCCGCAAAGACCTTTCTCAGGTTTTCACCAGTAGAGTTTGTAGCCCAGTCATAGTGAGACAGCCCAGAAGACGGTTGGTAGCCAGGTGAGTGCAGGTGAAACTGTATCCAGTGATTATTCGTGTCCACTTAGTCCTACATCGAATTCTGTAATGGGAGCTCCACAAGCGTTCCTTTTTGCGTGATCCACATATTGAACAATTTGCTTTTTTTTTTTACACTAGTCAAGCCAAATGGCTTTTTGGACCAGACTGTGACAACTAGGGCTGACACTCAAGTAGACGGGGCTTGGTGGGGGTTGGGTTCTGCCGCATACAGCCCCTCCCACACAACGGCCCATGCGCTTCCCTCCCACAGTGGTTGCTGAGTGCCGCAATCGCCTGCTTCAGGCTGGTTTTCAAGAATTAAAGGAAACGGAACACTGGGATATCCAGCCTGACCGAAAGGTGGGTAAATGGAATGGATACTTGATTGTGGAGCTTCCTCCATAATGCTGCTGACTTGCAGTGGTTCTGTTTCTGTTGGGGGGGTGGGGGGGTGTTGGGCTAGGCAGAGTTGGGATCTAGGCTGACCTCTGCCAGAGCAGCTACGGGGGAGGGGGGCGAAACACTGATGTCTTCTCTGCTCCTTTCTCCAATAGTACTTTGTGACCAGGAACTTCTCAACATTGATTGCCTTTGCCGTGGGAGGCCAGTACCAGCCAGGCAATGGCTTCACCTTGATTGGTGCCCACACAGACAGCCCATGCCTGAGAGTAAGTAGTTTCACTCCATCGTGCATGGCACTGTCTAGCTTGTACCCATTGGTGCTGTTAGCGACTTTCCTTTCTGTGTCACTCTGTTCTGTTTCCTCATCATTCCACTTTCTGTGGACTTGCTCTTCTTCCATGGTATCTCTTGATTATAATATAATATAATAATATAAAATGCTTCCCTCTGCCTTTGGCTATGATTTTCAGCACTGTCGTACCAGAATAGGTTTGTACCACTCTGCTGACAATAGTCAAGAGGCTCCCATCTGTGAGTGCTGATGACATCTTCTCTCTTCATTCCCTCCTCTTTGTCCATAACTGTGGCTCCTCTACTGCTATGGAGCTGCATTACACCTCCCTTAGAAATCACGGAACTATCTATTTATGTGACTGTGCTTACCTATCATCCAGGTGAAGCGCCGCTCAAAGCGTGGGCAGGAGGGCACTATTCAGGTGGGTGTGGAAACCTATGGAGGTGGTATCTGGAGCACCTGGTTTGATCGGGACCTCACTGTTGCTGGAAGAGTCATTGTCAAGGTCAGTTTTGCCTGAGATATTGGCCTTTTAGGCGTAACCTCTCTGGTGGATTTCCTAGGGGCTAGCCGCCAACCCCACAGGATTTTCTCCCAATTGTCACAGTACCATTTCTCCCTTATCTCACTGCACCAGGGCTCCCAGTATGTGATTAAAAAGAGTGCATCAGGTTAGAGGGGCTAGGATCGGGACCTGAGTATAATCCACCAAAGCCTGGATTGATAACTGAAGTAAAACTGACAGATACAAGATGGTTCGCTTTTGAAAACACACACACACGTATACACACAACTTGAGGAAAATATCAACACTTAACCAGGAGTTGAGAGATGTTAGGTGTTACACAATACATGCCTTAGGAAACCCTCTCTCAGGCAGGTTTATAACATATCAACACAGTACTCTGCTGCAACTAAGTTGTACACCAGGCCCAGCAACAAACCTACTGGCCTACTGTAATACCTCAGTATACTTAGGAAGGGAAACTTCACACAAAGATCTGACATAATCTCAGTTAGTCCCTTACATCACCCTCCTGTTAGACTAACCCTCAACTAATTTCATTGAATTTATTTATTTATTATTTAGATTTTTATCCCGCCCTCCCCGAAGGCTCAGGGCAGCTAACAGGGCATAATGCCAAATAAAACCATAAAACAGTATAAAATATTAAATTGCATAACAATCAATACACAGCTAATAACATCATAAAACATTTTTGGTGCTCCTCTATTCCGGTTCCGATGTTAAAATTTTTAAAAGCAAGATGGTGTCCTCAATGTCCTAGCTAGGCAGCTACAGCAGTGCATATCCCACTACCTTGCCGTCCCCTAAAAAATGTCCTGTTCCCACCAATGATGCCCGCATCAAGGTGGCCATATACGGAAGTCATAGGGCGTTGATGGTACAGTAGTGGTGGCGGCTCCTATTCGAAAGCCTGGCGGAAGAGCTCCGTCTTACAGGCCCTGCGGAACTGTACTAGGTCCCGCAGAGCCCGGATCTCCTCTGGGAGCTCATTCCACCAGATAGGAGCCGCCACCGAAAATGCCCTAGCCCTGGTCATGACAAGTTTGGTAGTCCTGGGGCCTGGAACATCCAGTAGATTTTGATTCCCCGACCGTAGTGCCCTTGAGGGAACATGTGGGGAAAGGCAGTCCCTTAGGTAGGCTGGTCCCTGAATAACTTTCCCTTGTCAGATGTTAATCTTTCCCAGGTCTGATTGACTGCTGTGTCTGTGTGGTACATTTCTGTGTTCTGCCTTCTACCTGTCACAGGTAGCTGAAGGGAATGGGAGCACAGGTAGTGTTCTTTTTGAAACTTCCTGTTGTAGGAAGGGGAATACGATGGTAGCAGACAATAATGGAAGTGAACCACTGGCTGCGTTGGTGGTGCCAGCAGGAGCGATTTGGATTCTGGGATCACAGGCTAGATTTTCTGGATGACAGCCTACTAGGACGCGATGGACTTCACTTGTCAAAGTCGGGGAGAATGTGTTTGGCATAAACCTGGGGAGATTCATCAAGAGGGCTTTACACTGACACCACAAGGGGAAAGAGACAACCAGCATAGGGATTTAAATGAAGGGGAGCAAACAACAGAGGTTCACCTGGGAGGGCCAGGTCTAATGGAGTCAAAGGTGCGGGGCTTGAGGTGTCTATGTACCAATGCTCAAAGCTTGGGTAATAAGAAGGAAGCGCTTGAGTTTCTAATGCAGACAAAGGGATATGATTTAGTAGGCATTACAGAGACTTGGTGGTGGGATGATTCACATGACTGGAATGTAGTAGTGGATGGATATGAGTTGTTCAAGAAAAGCCAAAAGGGTCAAAGAGGAGGCAGAGTGGCGTCGTCTGTGAAGAGAGGGTTTGTTTGTCAGGAAATACTGCAGGAGGAGGGCAACAGCCCAGTGGGAAGTATCTGGGTGAGGATAAGGGAAGGTAGGACAAACAGTATTGTGGTTGGAGTCTGCTACAGACCTCCTGACCAGGATGAGGCGGTGGATGCTGCCCTCTTTGAACAGCTTGACAGGGTATCCAAACAACATGATCTGGTAGTTAATGGGTGACTTCAACTTCCCTAATGTGTGCTGGCAGAAAAACTCTGCAAGGCATCCACAGTCACGCAACTTTCTGGCCTGTCTGGATGACAACTTCCTTTATCAAATGGTGGAGAAAGCTATGAGGGGCTTGGCAATACTCAATATTGACCAAGAGGCAAGAGTTGGTAGATGGGATGAAGGTGGTGGGGACCTTAGGGGAAAGTGACCATGTCCTGCTAGAATTCCTTTTGCTGTGCGGGAACAAGGAAGTTCATAACCACACATGTAAGTTAGATTTCAGTAAGGCAGACTTTAATAAACTCAGAGGTATGATGAGAATCATTCCAGGGGCAAGACTGCTGGAAGGGAAAGGAGTAAGTGAATGATGGGCTCTCCTAAAACAAGAGCTCTTGCAAGCTCAAGCTGTTGGTATTCCAACAAGAAGGAAATATGGCAGGGGATCCAAGAAGCCAATGTGGATGAACAGAGAACTGCGTGATGTGCTAAGGAAGAAAAAGGAAATGTTCAAGAATTAGAGGCAACAACATACCTCTAAAGAAGAGTATCTATGGGTTGCTAGGCACTGTAGGTCAGCCATCAGAGAGGCCAACGTTCACAGCTAAAGCTGGCCAGGGAGGCTCACTACAACAAGAAACCCTTCTTCAGATATGTGAGGAGCAAGCGCAAGATAAAAAGAGGCGATGGGCCCACTGTTGGGTGAAAATGGAGAAACTCTGAGAGAGGACAGAGAGAAAGCAGAAAGGCTTAATGCCTATTTTGCCTCAGTATTTTCCCTGAAGAACAGGCTAATCTAGAGATGGTAGTAGGCAAGTCACAGCATCTGGGCTGCTAGTTGACATGGGCAGAGAGGTAGTTGAGAAGCACCTGGTTGCACTGAATGAGTACAGATCCCCAGTGCCAGATGATGCGCATCCAAGAGTGCTCAAAGAACTTTCTAGAGAGCTTGCAGAGCCTTTGTCCATCATTTTTCAGGCCTCTTGGAGGACAAGAGACATGCCACAAGACTGGAGGAGGGCAAATGTTATCCCAATTTTCAAAAAAGGGAGGATGGATGGACCCAGGAAATTACAGGCCAGTCAGTCTGACCTCTGTCCCAGGGAAGATACTGGAGCAGATTTTAAAGGGATCGATCTGCGAGCATCTAAAGGACAACTTGGTGATCTGGGGAAGTCAGCGCGGATTTGTCCCCAACAGGGAACCTCATTTCCTTCTTTGATCGAGTGACAAACTTACTGGATCAAGGGAATGTTATTTACCTGGATTTCAGTAAAGCTTTTGACAGGGTTCCCCATGATGTTCTGACGGGTAAACTAAAAGACTGTGGACTGGACTCTAGGCAAGTTAGGTGGATAGGGAACTGGTTGGAGAACTGCACTCAGAGAGTAGTTGTCAATGGCATTTCATCTGAATGGAGGGCTGTCACTTAGAGGAGGGCAGGAAGCTGTTCCTGTTGGCAGCAGGACTCACAATAATGGGTTTAAATTAAGGGCAGGAAGGTAGCAGCTGGATATTAGGGGAAACTTTTTGACAGAGTTGTGCAACGGTGGAATCAGCTGCCTAGGGAGGTGGTGAGCTCCCCCTCACTGGCAGCCTTGACTCAGCGTCTGGACAAACACTTGTCAGGGATACTGTAGGCTGATCCTGCACTGAGCAGTCGGTTGGACTAGATGGCCGGTATGGCCCCTTCCAACTCTGTGATCCTATGATTCTACTACAGACCAATATTGGCCTGCCGGGTGTGGGAAGAAGCCCAGTTCTTGTGCTGTGAGGCATTATGAGAACTGACTCTTAATAAAGTTGTTGCCATTTATTTTGTGTGCTTGTCATTATATGCTGTCAATCAAAGAGATTTTTAGTTGATTTCCTTGATTAAGGCTTAAATTCTAACATGAGTTGATATGTTTGGAGCATACTTAATGATGTTAACTTAATAAGGTGTTTTGCATTTTTGCTGTGCATGTAGAACATCATTTATGTGGATCCAAAGGAATGCAGCAGGGGTATCTTTAGTAAATACATTTCACAGGGGTTATAAAAGTGTTATTAAAAATCAGTACAGTGTTTAATAAATTACTTCATCAGTGCCCTAATAAACATGAGTGTACCCAAGTGTGCTTAGAGAACACGTTGCCTAGCTACATTTGAGTAGGACTGTAGAATGGTTCAAAGTGTGTAATGCAGAGTGGCCTGATGTATGTATGATGCAAAAACTAGAACTTGAGAACTGACTGGAACTGAAGCCAACAGTCAGTAAGAGGAGAATGCCAATGGAACCAGGCGGTCTGGATTTATTCCTGCCCAGCTGTATTTTCCACATACCTTAAGACAGCTGAAAACACTTGAGAAATAACAAATACAAGGGGGGTGTCTGCAAGCAATTCATGGGACAGAGGAAAAGAAAGGCATAGTCAATGTTCAGTTAGTAAGAAAAGTCCTTTGCATGTGCTGGAGGTCCTCTGTTTCTGTAGGGCTATTGTAGTGTGGTGCTTGGTATGCCAGACAAGGTCCTGGGAGACCTGGGTTAAAAACTCTCCACTCCGTCACAAAACCCACGGGGTGGCCCTGGGCCACTAGAGGTTGCTGGCAATGTACTGAGTAAAATCTTATTACATGGAGCCCAGCAGTGAAAACTGGCTTGTTGCTGATGTGTTCTTTGGCAATTAAAGAATGCGGGAAGAAGACTTCCGGTCTGTGGCTCGGCGATGGTGGAGGCTCTCCCCTGAAGCTGGAGAGGCATTCTGCGCTCCAGGGGTGGCACCCCCGCGCTCCAAGTGGCACCCCCAGGTGAGCCTCAGTGTGGAGGCTCCAAGCCGGGGGCGCTTGGGGGGCGACCTCTTTGATGGCTTTAAGCCGGAGAATTGAGGCGCTCCTTTTTGCCCCAATCGGTCCACCCCCTGAGAGGCTCGGTTTTTACCGAGCATAGCTGGAGCCGGCCGGGACAAGCAAGAAGGTCAGCGAAGGAGGCGTGACTAAAAGGGGTCTGTGGTCAGACCGTCAATGAAGCGGAGAAAAAGGCGAGCGAATAAGTTCTAAAAGTGAGTTCCACCCCCCCACCACCTATAGCGGCGTCGGGAGGGAATCCCAGACGTAAACAAACCGAACTGTGTTTTAAAGAGAAGGGGGGGAGGAGAAACGAAAAGCGCTCAAGTGTGCCAAAGACTTAGCTGGTTTTGCGGATAAGTTTGCACTTGCTGAAGGAGAGTGAAAAGGCTCTCTTTAGTGTAAACAAAGCTGAAAATGGCCGGCGTCCGAGGAAAAGGAACGAAAGTTGGTCGAGGTGGTCAAAGTCCGAGGGTAGAAGAAGGAGACGTTTTCTCCACGCTAACGGAGCTGCTCTGGCCCATAAACGAAAGACTCGATGGTCTTAACCAGTTGATGGCTGCTTCGAACCAGAGTATGGCGAAGCAGCAACAGCAGATCGATGAGCTTGTGAAAAAGTCGATTCAAACCGATGAAAAGCTTAAAGAGACAGCACACGATACTAAAAAGATGAAGAAGAAAGTTGGTCTGTTGGAGCAAAGGCAAGATCTCCAAGAAAGAAGGCTATTGAATCTACAGATGGAAAAAGCTAAC